TTGGTTTGTTCTTTGAGGTCTGCAATCAAATAAAGAAGGAAAATGTTAATGAAGTTTATGACATTGGTTTGTTCTTTGAGGTCTGCAACCAAATAAAGAAGGAAGATGTCGACGAAGTATTTGACATTGGTTTGTTCTTTGAGGTCTGCAACCAAATAAAGAAGGAAAATGTTGATGAAGTTCATGACATTGGTTTGTTCTTTGAAGTCTGCAACCAAATAAAGAAGATAGATGTCGACGAAGTTTATGATGTTGGTGTGTTCTTTGAGGTCTGCAACCAAATAAAGAATGAAGATACCGATGAAGATAATGACATTGGATTGTTCTTTGAAGTCTGTGAGCAGTTGAAGAAGGAAGATATCGACGACGTGTTTAACATTGGCTCCTTTTTTTGAAGCCTGTGACATAATTAAATCAAAAGAAAATGATGTGGTCTCAGTTTTGGACCCAAGGAACGGCGAAGTCCACGGAAATATTCAAGTGGACAGCAACACGCCCTTACCTCGTCTCGATGACAACATGGATTTTGATGAGGACATGTTCGGAATTCTAGGAGTGTTTTGTAGGAGTGGATTACATTTCCTGTAAGTATTTGTATTAGAAAATGTTTCAATTTTTCAGAAAAGATTAAATCACTGTACGTGAAGAATTGTCAAAGATTCGTCCGCCAAAATTATAGTTTTTGTACATAGTAAAAATTGCCAAAGCATAGATCTTCTAACGAATGAATTATTATTTGAAACAATCCATGTAAAATACAAACGAACACGTTTAAAATAACCATTTTATTTTCTGAAAAGTTGAAAAAGGCGTAATTAAAGTAGCAAATACATTTAGTAGACACATGAATCAGTTTTAGTATATATTCAATGTAAATTTCATTGTACATGTATATATTATGATTTCCTTTTTGCATATAACTTTGCGTGTTCAATGGATCTTTCCGTTTATTTTCAGGAGCAGCGGAGTTCAAGAAGTCATTGTTTAGCACACTAATGTGTTATAAAACATTTTTATTGTTATTTGTTATGAAAATCACATTAAAAAGGAATATGATTATTTTTGTTTAACAAAATACATGTAGTCTTTGTTGTTGTTTTTCATTGCCGTAGCTCTTGCACGGCTTAACTTTCAATTAAAATTCATCATTTTATGGATAATTCAAAATCAGAACAGTGAAAACCATGATTAGAAAGCATATATATGTACCGGTTAATCTTGATCTGCACTGGTTGCATTTGTATAATATTATTCAGTTACCGCTATCAGGTTAAGGGTCTGAGAAACAATGCTACAGCTACAATTTCAATCACTTAGCACATTAAGTTAACCAAAACTTATTGTACCACATAGACGTGAGTAGGCATAAGCAGCAAGCAGTGCAACTCATCCATTTCATATTCTTAAGTTTATTAAATTGAATTGGTCCACATTTTCGGGTTCAAAACCTTTAGTATCAAACCGGACAGTAAACTAAGAAAGAATTATAAGTGGATATGATTTGTGGTAGGTGTGATATACATGATCGGATAAATGAAGCAGATAATAATTTGAGCCGCGCCATGACAAAACCAACATAATGCGTTTGCGACCAGCATGGATCCAGACCAGCCTGCGCATCCGCGCAGTCTGATCAGGATCCATGCTGTTCGCTATATATTTCTCTACTTGTTATAGGGTTTGTAAAGGAACAGCATGGATCCTGATCAGACTGCACTGATGCGCAGGCTGATCTGGATCCATGCTAGTCGCAAATGCACTATGTTGGTTTTGTCATGGCGCGGCTCATTTGTTAAGAAACAAAATATTATTTTTCAAATTATAAATATCCATACTAAATAACTTGGTCAACATGTTTGCTTAGCAATATTTTAGAAGAATATCTGAATGATAAGCTTAAACTTATTGCCTTTCTATAGTGGCTGATTTGGTACGCTTTTGTGCGTCGCGTTGGCGCTAGCGACAACACGACAAAAGCGCCAAACGGCGCGTTGTTTTGCTGTCGTCTTGTCCTGTCTCTAGCGCGGCACGCCAAACGGCGCGTTGTCGTGCGGCGTGTTGTCGCGATGTCACATTGTCGCTCGGTTCAAATTGAAGGATTGGCTTATAAGCTAAGCGAAAGGGCGACATCGCGACAACGCACCGCACGACAACGCGCCGTTTGGCGTGTCGCGCTAGAGACAGGAGTACAACACGACAATGCGCCGTTTGGCTCTTTTGCGTGATGTCGCTAGCTAAAGGACGACACGACGAAAGTCCGACAACGCGCCGTTTGGCACTTTGTCGTGTTGTCGCTAGCGTCAACTAGACGCACAAAAGCGTACCAAATCAGCCACCACACCTTTCTTCATTTTACATTGAACATGCTGAACTCGTTTTAAGAAACATTACTAAGATATATTCATATTGAATATTCATATTTATATTTATATAAGATATATCCATTCCCTCTATTGTTTCTGATAATGTGAACAAGCAAAAACACCGTGCCTATGCCATTGACCTATCCTCTCCACATGTGCACACTATCTAAATATTTCTTTTTCAAATTAGCGCACACCACATTTTTAACTATGTCTTTTTGTAGACCAGTCCAGAACGGGTTTAATAAAATAATATTATGCTCGCCAGAGGCTCGCATAGTATAATTTTATTCAACTCGTGCAATAAATTGAGTATTGCAATTGAACTTACACTCATTCAATATCCTCTATTTATGAACTAAGCGAAAGGGCGACATCGCGACAACGCACCGCACGACAACGCGCCGTTTGGCGTGTCGCGCTAGAGACAGGAGTACAACACGACAATGCGCCGTTTGGCTCTTTTGCGTGATGTCGCTAGCTAAAGGACGACACGACGAAAGTCCGACAACGCGCCGTTTGGCACTTTGTCGTGTTGTCGCTAGCGTCAACTAGACGCACAAAAGCGTACCAAATCAGCCACCACACCTTTCTTCATTTTACATTGAACATGCTGAACTCGTTTTAAGAAACATTACTAAGATATATTCATATTGAATATTCATATTTATATTTATATAAGATATATCCATTCCCTCTATTGTTTCTGATAATGTGAACAAGCAAAAACACCGTGCCTATGCCATTGACCTATCCTCTCCACATGTGCACACTATCTAAATATTTCTTTTTCAAATTAGCGCACACCACATTTTTAACTATGTCTTTTTGTAGACCAGTCCAGAACGGGTTTAATAAAATAATATTATGCTCGCCAGAGGCTCGCATAGTATAATTTTATTCAACTCGTGCAATAAATTGAGTATTGCAATTGAACTTACACTCATTCAATATCCTCTATTTATGAACCCGTCGAAAATTGACCCATGCATGGAACAGTTTTCAATATTGACCCGATCAACATTGCAACATTAGCTTTTTTGAATCAATGAGGTATGGTGTCTGATTAACGACTTATTATGGAACGCAATAGCTACTTTAGTGGTGATGTCCTCTTGATGAAATCTATATCGTTTTGACAGATGATGCTGTGGTTTTGATAAATGGTGCTTTAATTTTGATAAGTGGTATCGTTTTAATTGGCGCTATAAAACTGATTTCTTTTTAATGCCTTGATTTTGACGGTAATGTCTTTCATCTTGCCTCTTTAAATTTAGAAATTAATAAAATAAATCCATTAACAAATCGTGCATTCATGTCCATATAATTCTAGCTCCGGCTAGTCTCTTTAATAAAATATACAATATGAATACAGGACAAACCTTTGAGAGACAAATGAGCCGCGCCATGACAAAACCAACATAATGTGTTTGCGACCAGCATGGATCCAGACCAGCCTGCGCATCCACGCAGTCTCATCAGGATCCATGCTGTTCGCTTACAAACCCTATAACAGGTAGAGAAACTGATAGCGAACAGCATGGATCTTGATCAGACTGCACGGATGCGCAGGCTGGTCTGTATCCATGCTGGTCGCAAACACATTTTGTTGGTTTTGTCATGGCGCGGCTCAAATATTTTGACTATTCTGAGATGTGTGGCTCTTGAGACGTGGAATTCATTGTTAAACTTTTACTTCTGGACACTTGAAACAGTTGTTGTCAAGAGGGTGATGCTCTATATAGAGAACCACGTAATAGAAAGAGCACCGAAACACGAGGTTATCTGATTTGTACGAGGGGGCATAGCCCCCCGAGTATTAATCAGATTACCGAGTGTTTTGGTGTTCTTTCTCTTTTGTATCATAGTCAAACATAAAAACACGTTTCCTGTTGTTACAATATGAAACCCCGGCAAAAATGAACCAATGAACGAGCATCTAAATATGACATTTCTGTCGATTTCACTTTCACTGCCGTCACAATATGTAAACCCCAGCAAAAATGAGCCAATCAATGGGCATGCTCTGGAGTGCGGGTAACTCCAGTTAACGCACTGTGCATGTATATGTATACGATTTAACCCTGACACATTTGCAACAGAAAGGTCTCCAAACTATGATACAATCTGCTTATGTCGCACAATAAACTGCATCCAATGTATTATATTCACTGCATGACCATCCTGTCCGCCTACCAGTCGGATGTATTGCAGAGTTAATAGCTTGTATGTCGACATGGCAACACACTGAATTGTAAGTAGAAAGTGTTTTAAATGTCCTGATATGAAGTAAACATCAAGGTTATTAAGGCTAGAAATGAAGTGTCACTGGGGGGGGGGGGATAAAATATAGTAAAAAAATAGAATCCATAAAGAACGCCCAAAACGACAATATTGAAAATGTTGCAGACTACTGTTTATGGACTGGACGATACTGGAAAGTATAAGCTAATGTCCCCCCCCCCCCCCCGGCTTAAACAATTCAACATTTAATAAGAAAATGGTGAAACAGATGTGTTCATACAACAATTATCCTTTGATCCTCAATGTGACACTTTCGTGCTATTCCGTGAAAATGTGTAAACGGACGCGTTGTGAGTAATTGTCTGACGTCTTTGACGTGATGACGTCAGTGTATTTGACGTTATCGTCACGGTGATCATTCAAACGTCAGAACCACAGCATAACAGTACAGAGAACCTGTCAAATATTTGAAATAAAATGGAATTCGCAGAATTCATCTAAACACGAAAGGTAAAGTAATGCTTTAATCTTTAACTTGCCTTATTTATGTAATGGATTTACCTGATTTTAACAGTCTAAGTTTTCATATCAAAATACAGAAATTGAGCTCCCAGTTTTACAGAGTCTGTTATACAGTGATCTATGATAAATTTACTTACGTAAATAGTAATACACTCAATGAAAGCACATTTTCATCATTACTTGTAACAAACAAAAGTTAGATACATGTGACAGGTAGAGAAAATGACTGAAAATTTGACTGGAACTCGGACCCGGAACCCTCGGAATACACTTCCGTGGCTTATATCCGGGCTCTTTCACATCCTATCCTAATTAATGAACAACTCTGAACCGTGGCTTATAGCAAAATGAAATTGTAAGGTATTGCAGTACGTATATAATTTAGTATAATATGTTGCCATGTAATAAAAAGAAAGTAAAATCAAACAAAGAAATTAAGCAGGCTTTTATGATCAGGAATTAAATATATTTTCACTTCTACAGGAATGGCTCTGCTAAGATTAAACAAGAGGGATCGTGAAATGGCTTCCAGCCTTGCTCGCCAACAAAAGTTTGCCGCCGGTCAGTCACAACTTGATCATCACATCAACTGTGTCTTACTGCAAGCTTCGTTTAGAAGATCATCGGTTTCATTTGCACCAGTACAAAAATCTGGTGCTGGAGACCCTGGAAGCAATAAGGTAAAGTCATTTACGATTCTAGGCGCGTCAACAGCCTCATCAAAAATGGTTTGTTCTAAATTCACGCTTGCGAACAGGATTTCGAAAGGTTCAGCAATAATGAAATCAACAGGTTCAACGCGGATGTGTAAATCGCAAAAATATGATGAAAAGGGCTTTCCAAATCACGTACATGATGTCATTGATACAAGTATTATGAGGTTGGTACCAGACCATGATTTTGAAATTCCTACAGAACCAGAATTTGAAATGCTTATCAAAAGTGCCCATCCAAAACCCGAACCAGATAATAATTTGCCTGGTGATGATGTAAAAGCATGCTTTGAAAATGAAACATATGAAGAAAACGTTAATGTTGTTACAGATATCGACGAAGTTTATGATATTGGTTTGTTCTTTGAGGTCTGCAACCAAATAAAGAAGAAAGATGTTGACGAAGTTTATGACATTGGCTTGTTCTTTGAGGCCTGCAACCAAACAGAGAAGAAAGATGTCGACGAAGTTTACGACATTGGTTTGTTCTTTGAACATTGCAACCAAATAAAGAAGGAAACTGTCGACGAAGTATATGACATTGGTTTGTTCTTTGAGGTCTGCAACGAACTAAAGAAGAAAGATGTTGATGAAGTTTATGACATTGGTTTGTTCTTTGAAGTCTGCAAGGAAATAAAGAAGGAAGATATCGACGAAGTTTATGATATTGGTTTGTTCTTTGACGTCTGCAACAAAATAAAGAAGAGGGGTGTCGATGAAGTTCATGACATTGGTTTGTTCTTTGAGGTCTGCAACGAACTAAAGAAGAAAGATGTTGACGAAGTTTATGATATTGGTTTGTTCTTCAAAGTCTGCAACCAAAAAAAGAAGAAAGATCTCGACGAAGTTTATGACATTGGTTCCTTCTTTGAGGTCTGCAACGAAATAAAGAAAGAAGACCACGACGAAGTTTATGACATTGGTTTGTTCTTTGAAGTCTGCAACCAAATAAAGAAGGAAGATCTCGACGAAGTTTATGATATTATTTTGTTCTTTGAAGTCTGCAACGAAAGAAAGAATGAAGACGCCGACGAAGTTTATGATATTGGTTTGTTCTTTGAAGTCTGCAACCAAATAAAGAAGGACGCCGACGAAGTTTATGATATTGGTTTGTTCTTTGAGGTATGCAACCAAATAAATAAGGAAGATCTCCGCGAAGTTTATGATATTGGTTTGTTCTTTGAGGTCTGCAACGAATTAAAGAAGGAAGACACCGACGAAGTTTATGACATTGGTTTGTTCTTTGAACTATGTAACCAAATAAAGCAGAAAGATGCCAATGAAATTTATGATATTGGTTTGTTCTTTGAAGTCTGCAACCAAATAAAGAATGAAGATATGGACGAAGTTTATGATATTGGTTTGTTCTTTGAAGTGTGCAACCAAATAAAGAAGAAAGATGTCGACGAAGTTTATGATATTGGTTTGTTCTTTGAGGTATGCGAGCAGCTGAAGAAGGAAAATGTTGAGGAAGTTTATGACATAGGAATGTTCTTTGAAGTCTGCGAGCAGTTGAAGAAGGAAGATATCGACAACGTGTTTAACATTGGCACCTTTTTTGAAGCCTGTGACATGATTAAAACAAGAGAGTTTGAAAATGATATGGTCTCAGTTTTGGACCCAATGAACGTCGAAGACCACGATAATATTCAAGTGGACAGTAACATGCCCTTACCTCGTCTCGATGACAGCATGGATTTTGACGAGGATATGTTCGGAATTCTAGGAGTGTTTTGTAGGAGTGAATTACATTTCCTGTAAGTATTTGTAATAAGAAATGTTAAAGTTTTTCAGAAAAGATTTAATCACTGTATAAGCAGATTGATCAAAGAATCGCCCGCCAAAATCATTGTTTCTGTACATTGTAAACAATGCCAAAGCATAGATCTTCTAACGAATGAATTTGAATTTAAATTTGAAACAATCCGTGTGAAATACAAACGAACACGTTAAAAGTTACAATATTTTTCATAAAAGTAAAGAAATGTGTTATTAAAGTAGCAAATACATGTAGTAGACAACTTAATCTGTTTTAGCATTCAATGGAAATTTTATTATATATAGTTATGATTTTCTTTTAGCATATTAATTTGCGTGTTTAATGGATCTTTCTGTTTATTTTCAGGAGTAGCGGAGTTCAAGAAGTCATTGATTAAATCCAGCACACTATTGTATTATAAAACATTTTCATTGATGTTTTTTGGTTGTTATGAAAATCATATTAAAAAAGGAATACGATTATTTTTGTTTAAAAAAGAAACATGTCTTTGTTTTTGCATTGCCCGTAGCTCCTGCATGGCTTAATTTTCAATTAAAGCTTGACAAAACCATTCATCATTGTATGGATAATTCAAAATCAGAACCGTGAAAACCATGAGTGGAAAGCACATATGTACCGTTTAATCTTGAACTGCACTGGTTGCATTTGTATAGTCAGTTGTCGCTATCTGGTTAAGGGTCCGAGAAACATTGTCCGTTATTTGCATCTACAATTTCAATCATTTATCACAATAAGTTAACCAAAACTTATTGGACCACATAGACGTGAGTACGCATAAGCAGCAAGCAGTGCCTATCATACCATTTCATGTACTAAAGTTTATTAAAGTGAATTGGTCCACATTTTGGGGTTCAAAACCATAAGTATTAAATCCGACAGTAAACTAAGAAAGAATAATATATGTGTTTATGATTTGTGGTAGGTGTGATAAACATGATCCAATGAATGAAGCAGATAATAATTTGAGCCGCGCCATGACAAAACCAACATAATGCGTTTGCGACCAGCATGAATCCAGACCAGCCTGCGCATTCGCGCAGTCTGATCAGGATCCATGCTGTTCGCTATATATTTCTCTACTTGTCAGGATCCATGCTTTTCGCTTTATATTTCTCTACTTGTTATAGGGTTTGAAAGTGAACATCATGGATCCTGATCAGACTGCACGGATGCGCAGACCACAGACGCTTGGGGTTTGGAGCTCAAAACGCCTTTAAAATCCAAATAAAATGCATATTTGTCAATCCCAGGACATGCACTGATCATATATATCAAAAAATCTTAATATATGCCGTTTTGAAAAAAAATCATATTTCAACATCTATAATAATAGATGCATTTTATTTGGATTTTAAAGGCGTTTTGAGCTCCAAACCCCAAGCGTCTGTGGCGCAGACTGGTCTAGATCCATGCTGGTCGCTAATGCACTATGTTTGTTTTGTCAAGGCGCGGCTCATTTGTCGTGAAACAAAATATTATTTTCAACTTATAAATATTCTTACTAAATGACATGGTCAACATGTTTGCTTAGCAATATTTTATAAGAATATCTTATTGAACTTACACTCATTCGAAATCCTCTATTAATGACACCGTTGAAAATTGACCTATTGATAATTTGCCACCATAGACCAGTTTTCAAAAATGACCCTATCAACATTGCAATATTAGGTTTTTTTGTATCAATGAGGATGGCGTCTGATTTACGACTTATTATGGAACGACATTGCTGCTTTTTATACACACTTCTTTAGTGGTGATGTCCTATTGATAAATAACCATGTCTTTTTGACAGATGATGCTGTGGTTTTGATAAACGGTTCTGTTATTTTGGTAAGTGGTATCGTTTTAAAAGATGGTGGTCTTTGATAAATTGGCGCTATAAAACTGATTTCTTTTTAATGCCTTGATTTTGAAGGTAATGTCTTTCATCTTGCCTCTTTTAATTTAGAAATTAATAAAATAAATCCATTAACAAATCGTGCATTCATGTCCATATAATTCTAGCTCCAGCTAGTCTCTTTAATAAAATATACAATATGAATACAGGACAACCCTTTGAAAGACAAATGAGCCGCTCCATGACAAAACCAACATAATGTGTTTGCGACCAGCATGGATCCAGACCAGCCTGCGCATCCGCGCAGTCTGATCAGGATCCATGCTGTTCGCTTACAAACCCTATAACAGGTAGAGAAACTGATAGCGAACAACATGGATCTTGATCAGACTGCGCGGATGCGCAGGCTGGTCTGGATTCATGCTGGTCGCAAACACATTTTGTTGGTTTTGTCATGGCGCGCCTCAAATATTTTGACTATTCTGAGATGTGTGGCTCTTGAGACGTGGAATTAATTGATAAACTTTTACTTCTGAAAACTTGAAACAGTTGTTGTCAAGAGGTTGATGCTCTATATATATAGAGAACCACTCTGCTTATGTCGATAAACTGCATCCAATGTATTATATTCACTGCATGACCATCCTGTTCGCCTACCAGTCGGATGTATTGCAGAGTTGAAAGCTTGTATGTAGACATGGCAACACACCGAATTGTAAGTAGAAAGTGTTTAAAATGTCCTGAGATGAAGTAAGCATCAAGGTTATTAAGACAAGAAATGAAGTGTCACTGGGGGGGGGGGGGGGGGGGGAATAAAATATAGTAAAAAATAGAATCCATAAAGAACGCCCAAAACGACAATATTGAAAATGTTGCAGACTACTGTTTATGGACTGGACGATACTGGAAAGTATAAGCTAATGTCCCACCCCCCGGCTTAAACAATTCAACATTTAATAAGAAAATGGTGAAACAGATGTGTTCATACAATACAACACTTATCCTTTGACCCTCAATGTGACACTTTCGTGCTATTCCGTGAAAATGTGTAAACGGACACGTTGTGAGTTATTGTCTGACGTCATTGAGGTGATGACGTCAGTGTATTTGACGTTATCGTCACGGTGATCATTCAAACGTCAGAACCACAGCATAACAGTACAGAGAACTTTTGTCAAATATTTGAAATAAAATGGAATTCGCAGAATTCATCTAAACACGAAAGGTAAAGTAATGCTTTAATCTTTAACGTGCCCAATTTATGTAATGGATTTACCTGATTTTAATTTCGAACAGTCCAAGTTTTCATATCAAAATACAGAAATTGAGTTCACAGCATTACAGAGTCTGTTAAACAGAGATCTGAGATAAATTTACTTAAGTTAATAGTAATACACTTAATGAAAGCACATTTTCATCATTACTTGTAACAAACAAAAGTAGACACATGTGACAGGTAGAGAAAATGCAGCAATTTGACTGGAACTCGGACCCGGAACTCTCGGAATACAGTTCCGTGGCTTATATTTGGGCTCTTTCACATCCTATCCTAATTAATGAACAAATCTGAACCGTGGCTTATAGCAAAATGAAATTGTAAGGTATTGCAGTACGTAATTTAGTATAATATTAATATGTTGCCATGTAATAAAAAGAAATAAAATCAAACAAAGAAATTAAGCAGGTTTTTTATGATCAAGAATTAAATATATTTTCACTTCTACAGGAATGGCTTTGCTAAGATTAAACAAGAAGGATCGTGAAATGGTTTCCAGCCTTGCTCGCCAACAAAAGTTTGCCGCCGGACAGTCACAAATCGATCATCACATTAACTGTATCTTACTGCAGTCTTCGTTAAGAAGACCATCTGTTTCATTTGCACCAGTACAAAAAGCTGGTGCTGGAGACCCCGGAAGCAATAAGGTAAAGTCATCAACGATTCTAGGCGCGTCAACAGCCTCTTCAAAAATGGTTTGTTCTAAATTCACGCCTGCGAACAGGATTTCCGGTTCAGCTATAATGAAATCAACAGGTTTAACGTGGATGTGTAAATCGCCAAAATATGATGAAAAGTGCTTTCCAAATCACGTACATGATGTCATTGATACAAGTATTATGAGGTTGGTACCAGATCATGATTTTGAAATTCCTACAGAACCAGAATTTGAAATGCTTATCAAAAGTGCCCATCCAAAACCGGAACCAAATAATAATTTGCCTGGTGATGATGTAAAGGTATGCCTTGAAAATGACATACATGAGGAAAACGTTAATGTTGTTACAAATGTCGACGAAGTTTATGAAATTGGTTTGTTTTTTGAGATCTGCAACCAACGAGGGCAGAAAGATACCGACGAAGTTTATGACATTGGTTTGTTCTTTGAACATTGCAACCAAATAAAGAAGGAAACTGTCGACGAAGTATATGACATTGGTTTGTTCTTTGAGGTCTGCAACCAAATAAAGAAGGAAGATATCGACGAAGTTTATGACATTGGTTTGTTCTTTGAAGTCTGCAACCAAATACTAGTAAAGAAGAAAGATGTCGACGAAGTTTTTGAAATTGGTTTGTTTTTTGAGATCTGCAACCAACGAGGGCAGAAAGATACCGACGAAGTTTATGAAATTGGTTTGTTCTTTGAACATTGCAACCAAATAAAGAAGGAAACTGTCGACGAAGTATATGACATTGGTTTGTTCTTTGAGGTCTGCAACCAAATAAAGAAGGAAGATATCGACGAAGTTTATGACATTGGTTTGTTCTTTGAAGTCTGCAACCAAATACTAGTAAAGAAGAAAGATGTCGACGGAGTTTATGATATTGGTTTGTTCTTTGAGGTCTGCAACCAAATAAAGAAGGAAGATATCGACGCAGTTTATGATATTGGTTTGTTCTTTGAAGTCTGCAACGAAATAAAGAAGAAAGATGTTGACGAAGTTTATAATATTGGTTTGTTCTTTGAGGTCTGCAACCAAATAAAGAAGAAAGATATCGATGAAATTTATGACATTGGTTTATTCTTTGAGGTCTGCAACCAAATAAAGAAGGAAAATGTCGACGAAGTTTATGATATTGGTTTGTTCTTTGAGGTCTGCAGCCAAATAAAGAAGAAAGATGTTGACGAAGTTTATGATATTGGTTTGTTCTTTGAGGTCTGCAACCAAATAAAGAAGAAAGATATCGATGAAGTTTATGATATTGGTTTGTTCTTTGAACATAGCAACCAAATAAAGAAGAAAGATATCGATGAAATTTATGACATTGGTTTATTCTTTGAGGTCTGCAACCAAATAAAGAAGGAAAATGTCGACGAAGTTTATGATATTGGTTTGTTCTTTGAGGTCTGCAACCAAATAAATAATGAAGATATCGATGAAGATTATGACATTGGATTGTTCTTTGAAGTCTGCGAGCAGTTGAAGAAGGAAGATATCGACGACGTGTTAAACATTGGCTCCTTTTTTGAAGCCTGTGATAATAAAACAAAAGAAAATGATCTCGTGTCAGTGTTGGACCAAAGGAACGGCGAAGACTACGGAAATATTCAAGTGGACAGCAACATGCCCTTACCTCGTCTCGATGACAACATGGATTTTGACGAGGATATGTTCGGAATTCTAGGAGTGTTTTGTAGGAGTGGATTACATTTCCTGTAAGTATTTGTATTAGAAAATGTATTAGAAAATGTTCCAATTTTTCAGAAAAGATTTTATCAATGTACGTGTAGAATGATCAAAGAATCGCCAGCCAAAATTATTGTTTCTGTACATTATAAAAATGCCAAAGCATAGATCTTTTAATGTATGAATTATTATTTGAAACAATGCATGTGAAAAAAAACGAACACGTTTAAATTAACCATTTTTTCTGAAAAGTAGAAAATTGCGTAATAAAAGTAGCAACTATACATGTAGTAGACAAATGAATCGGTTTAAGTAAATTTCATTGTATATATTATGATTTCCTTTTTGCATATAACTTTGCGTGTTTTATGGATCTTTCCGTTTATTTTCAGGAGTAGCGGAGTTCAAGAAGTCATTGTTTAAATCCAGCGCACTATTATGTTATAAAAAGTTTTTATTGTTACTTGTTATGAAAATCACATCAAAAAGGAATACGGTTATTTGTGTTTAACAAAATACATGTAGTCTTTGTTTTTTCCATTGCCCGTTGCTCTTACACGGCTAAATTTTCAATTAAAGCTTGACAAAACCATTAATCATTTTATGGATAATTCAAAATCAGAACCGTGAAAAACATGATTAGAAAGCACATATGTACCGGCTATTCTTGATCTGCACTGGTTGCATTTGAATATTCAATTGCCGCTATCAGGTTAAGTGTCTAAGAAACAGTGCCCGTTATTTGCAGCTACAATTTCAGTCACTTAGCACAATAAGTTAACCAAAACTTATTGTACCACATGGACGTGAGTAGGCATAAGCAGTAAGCAGTGTCTCTCATACCATTTCATGTATTAAAGTTTATTAAATTGAATTGGTCCACATTTTGGGGTTCAAAACCTTAAGTATATCAAATCCGACAGTAAACTAAAAAAGAATAATATGTGGACATGATTTGTGGTAGGTGTGATAAACATGATCCAATGAATGAAGCAGATAATAATTTGAGCCGCGCCATGACAAAACCAACATAATGCGTTTGCGACCAGCATGGATCCAGACCAGCCTGCGCATTCGCGCAGTCTGTTCAGGATCCATGCTGTTCGCTATATATTTCTCTACTTGTCAGGATCCATGCTTTTCGCTATATATTTCTCTACTTGTTATAGGGTTTGAAAGTGAACATCATGGATCCTGATCAGACTGCACGGATGCGCAGACCACAGACGCTTGGGGTTTGGAGCTCAAAACGCCTTTAAAATCCAAATAAAATGCATATTTGTCAATCCCAGGACATGTACTGATCATATATATCAAAAATTCTTAATATATGCCGTTTTGAAAAAAAATAATAGATCTATAATAATAGATGTTGAAATATGATTTTTTTTCAAAACGGCATATATTAAGATTTTTCGATATATATGATCAGTACATGTCCTGGGATTGACAAACATGCATTTTATTTGGATTTTAAAGGCGTTTTGAGCTCCAAACCCCAAGCGTCTGTGGCGCAGACTGGTCTAGATCCATGCTGGTCGCTAATGCACTATGTTTGTTTTGTCAAGGCGCGGCTCTTTGTTTCGTGAACAAATTATTTGCAACTTATATTATAATATGGACTGGTCACTATTTGCGTAGTGCAATATTTTATAAGAATAGCTTTATTGAACTTACACTCATGTCGAAATCCTCTATTGATGAAGTTGAATAATTGACCTATGATATTTGCGCCAAGACAGTTTTCAATGACCCTAAATTGAAGTATAGGTTGTTTTTGTATAAGTGGAGGTTGGCGTCTGATTACGATATTATGGAACGCATTGGCTTTTTACAAACTTCTTTATGTGAAGTTATCGTAAATGAAACAGTCTTTTGACAGATGATTGTGTTTGATAACGTCTGGATTATTGGTGGTAGTGTTCGTTTTTAGAAAGATGTGGTATTGCTAAATTGGCTAATAAACTGATTTTCTTATAATGCCTTGATTTGAAAGGTAATGTCTTTATCTTGCTTTTAATTTAGTATTAATTATAAATCATTAAATGGGATCAGGTCCATATAATTATGTCAGTAGTTTTATAAAATTGATCAATTAATACAGGACAACCCTGAGACAATGAGCGTCCATAGAAAACTAAAATAGTGATGTGTTTGCGACCGAACCATGGATCAAGAACGAAGCTGCGCATCTCGAGGTCTGATCAGGGAAAGCTGTGCTTACAAACTATACAGTAGAAACTGATAGCGACACATGGATATTGGAATCGAACTGCGGTATATGCGCAGTGATGGTTCTGGATTCATGTAGCTGGTCGCAACCCATTATTGTTTGGTTTTTATTTGCGCGCCTCAAATATTTGGACTACTTCTCATGTGTGGACTTGAGAACGTGGAATTATGGATAACATTTTACTTGAACTTGAACGTGGTTGTCAGAGGTGATGCTCATTATAGAGAACCATTGATTTGATAAATGCTGCATTTCATTTAATTATTCATTACTGCATGATCCTGTTCGCTACCATACGGATGTTATTGCAGAGTTGATAGTTGTTGTAGACTTGGAACCAGCGAATTGTATTAAATAGTGTTTAAATGGTCTGAATGTAAGCAAGTTATTAGAAAGAAATGAAGTGTACTGGGGGGGGGGTGAAAAATATAGTTAAAAATAGATCCCCAGAAGAGCGCAACGACAATATGAAATGTTGCAGACTATGTTTATGGACTGGACGAACTGGAAGTATAGTAGTATATGTCCACCCTCTTAAACATTCAATTTATAAGAAAATGTGAAACGATGTGTTCATCAATACAACATTTAATCTTTGCCTCATGTGACACATTTCGGTGTATTCGTGAAATGTGTAAACGGACACGTTGTGAGTTATTGTCTGACGTCTTGGGTGATGACTAGTATGCGTTATCGCAGGTGATGATTCAAAACTCAGAACACAGATAAAACGTACAGAGATAACTTTGTCAAAGATATTGAATAAATTGAGTTTGAGAATTTCATCTAACACGAAGGTAAGGTATGCTTAATATTTAAGGGTGCCATTTATGTAATGGATTTTACATGATTTAATTTCGAACAGTCCAAGTTCTATAAAATCACGAAATTGAGTTCAAAGCATTACAGATTGTTAAACGAGATCTTAGAAATTACTTAAGTTTATGTAGTAATCATCTAATGAAAGCACATTTATATTCTTGTAAAATAACTGTGAGGTTGAAAAAGCAAGCATTTGAACTGAACTCGTACGGAATGCCTGAATAAGCAGTTAGTGGTATATATGGGCCTTTTAACTATCTATTAATTATGAACAATTGAACGTGGCTTAGCAAAATGAAAATTGTAGGTATTGCAGTAGGTTATGTATATAGATTAATTGTTGCAGTAATAAAGAAATAAATATCTAGAAAATTAAACAGGTTTTTGTTTAATAGAAAGTTAAATATATTTCACTTTCTACAGGAATGGTTTGCTTAGATTACAGAAGGACGTGAGATGGTTGTCCAGCTTGCTACTGCGCAACAAAGTTTTGCCAGCGGCGTCCAATATCGATTCATTCACGTACTGTATCTTATGAGTTTACGTAAGAAGACCATTCTGTTTCTTTGCCACAGTTAAAAGCTGGTGCGGGACGCGGAAGCAATAATGGTAATAGTAGTCAACGATTTCTAGGTGCGGTCACGCCTTCAAAAATGGTTTGTCTAAATTCACCGCCTGCGAACGATTTTCGTCAGTATAATATATCAAAGGTTTTAAGGGATGTTAAATCGCCAAATATGGATGAAAAGGTTTTCCAATAGTTAATTTATGTGTCATTGATAACAATATTGATAGAGGTTGGTAACGAGATCATGATTTTGAATTCTAGATGAACAGATTTGAATGCTTATTCAACAAGTGCCTTCATGCCAAAACTGGAAACAATAATAGTTTCCTGGTGGATGAGTAAGAGCACTTTGAAAATGAAAATATGAGAAAACGTTAATGTTTTACAGATATGACGTAAGTTATGATATTATATCTTTTTTGAGGTCTATAGCCAAATTAAGAGAAGAGATTTTGGATGAGTTTATGATATTTGTTGTTCTTGAGGTTTGGCAAGCCAATTACAAGAAGAGAGATATGTGAAGTTTATGTATTGTTTGCTCTTTGACGTTGTCACAATAAATAAGGAAAGAAAAAAAAAATAGACGAAGTATTTTTGATATGTTTGTTCTTTGGGTCTTGCAACAACATAAGAGAAGATAATGGATGGTTTTGAATATTGGTTTGTTTATGAGGTCTGACGATAAAGAAATATTGTTGATGAAGTTTATGGCATTTGGTGTTCTTTGAACTCTTGTTAACAGAAATAAGAAGGAAATGTGATGAAGTTTTTTGAGGTTGTTCTGTTGATGTGCACCAAAGAGAAGATAATGATGAATGTTTATGAATTGGTTGTCTTGAAGCTGGCACAAATAAAGAAGGAAAATATTGTGAAGTTAGACTTGGTGTTCTTGAAGTATGGGAGCAGTTAGAAGGGAAGATAGACGACAGTGTTAAAAAGTGTCTTTTTTGAAGCCTGTGACAATAAAGAAAAAAGAGATTTGAAAAATGATAAGAGTCTATGGTTTGATTCGTCCGAATTATATCAAAGGTAAAGTAAGTGCTTATTTAATCTTTAACGTGCCATTGTTATGTATGATTTACGATTTTAAATTTAGAATCAGGTCCAAGATTTTTCATATAAAAAAGGAAATTGAGTTAATACAGAGTCTGGATGAGAGAGATACCATTGCCCTACATTCGACAAAATCATGAACCACATGGACTGTGAGTAAGATGTGTGTCGGAATTCTAGAGGAGGTTGGTAGGAGTGGATTAATTTCCTGTAATTAATTTATATCGGAGATTTTTTATTTTTTTCTAAGATACAGTAAAGATAGTTTTTGTTAAATAGAATGGTATCTGGCAGCTTAAGGGATAAACTAAAATAGCATGGTAAGATGTTATTTGATAATATACGCATATACAATATTTTCTAGAAAGACATGAACAAGAATCTTTCACAAGCTACTTAATTTTTTTATATTAGTATCTGACAGTGACTTTCACTGGATAATTTTTAGACTATAATTGTGTGGATTTTTTTAAATTTTTTTTTTTGGAATGAAGCAATTACTTCAGTAAATTGTACGAGAAACTAGCATTTAAAGTTTAATCGAGCTCGATTGTTATATTTACAGAATAATTTTATAAAGTGGCCCGTATTCTCATATTGTTTCCGCATATGAACACGCAAAAGGATGAACAATTAAAAGTAAACTGTAATAAATATAGAGCCCTTTTGAGATGATTACATAATCAGAATTGGGTAATAATTATTTTAACTTAATTGAATAAAGATCAAATTTTTTAACAAATTGGGTTTCATTTATTGCAGGGGTAACGGGTCCAAGAAATCGCGCATAAAAGAGATACATTTATATTCATATAAATTTTTGTTGT